TACTCAGTGTACTTGCTGTTTCGGCATTCTGAATCCAAGACTTCGACTTTGTGCCCTTGCCACTGTGTCTGCGTCCGACTCTCAGTCGTGTCGAGTGAGTGAGTGTGTGTGTGTGCTCTCACTCTCTCCCTCTCTCTCTCCTCTCCCTCGACTCTCCCTCAACCTCACGCTCGTCACAACATCTGAGTAATTTCGCAACTTGGTTTTCTGTATATCGTTCACACTTGTATTCCTTGCAGTGGTCTCCTGGAGTCACCAAACATGAAGTGCGCCCTCTGCGAGACAGTGTGGGGCATGGCACCACTGGGTAATTCTACCCTTCTTGCAAATTCGTCCACCACTATGTGGGATATGCAGAAGAAAAGGGGAAGTTCACTTACCACACCCCGCCTAAAAAAGAAAACTGGAATGAGGTTCAGTGAGCCCTATTTCATAATCCACAATTTTGAAATTTTTAGGGGAGTGGCCTGCAGAATTCAAAATTTGGCAGCCCTTGCACAAAAAAGAGTTTCGGGCAGTGTGGGGCATGGCACTACTGGGTAATTCTACCCTTCTTGCAAATTCGTCCACCACTGTGTGGGATTTGCAGAAGAAAAGGGGAAGTCCACTTAGCACACCCCGCCTAAAAAAGAAAACAAGAATGAGGCTGAGTGAGCCCTATTTTCTTTTTCTTTTCTTTTCTTTTCTTTTTTTTTTTTTCTTCTTTTTTTTTTTTTTTTTGTGATGATAGGATTTTCCCTGGTCCTTGCACGGCCGGGCCGTCCGGGAAAATAGGGTGACCCGGGCGGCCCGGCTGGTAGCCTAGCTTTTCTTTTCTTTTCTTTTTTTTTTTTTCTTCTTTTTTTTTTTTTTTTTGTGAGCCCTATTTTCATAATCGGCGATTTTGAAATTTTTGGGAGAGTGGCCTGCAGAATTCAAAATTTGGCAGCCCTTGCCCAAAAAAGAAATTTTGAGCCAAGGGCGCGAACAGTTTCTGAACATGTGCGGCGAGTTGAACATTTTTGCCAGGGTGGGTGCTGTAGGGAATGATGAAACCACTACTTTCTTTTTTTTTTGGACCTTAATTTTCCCAGTGCACGTGCGCGTCGTGCACTGTGCAGTGAGGCGCGCACGGTGCGCTGCGCGCGCGCAAATCCTCGCACTGAGGTGTGCCGCAACTATGCTAAGTACGCTAGACTAATGGCCATGTCGGAAACAGTGAGTACCGATCACGTCATCAAGTTATTTACGGATAACTGGGTGTGTGATTTCGGACTGCCCAAGTCCATCGTTAGTGATAGAGATGTCTGTTTCACCGGCGAGATGTGGAAGAAGGCTGCTGAACAGATGGGCAGCCAACTCCAAATGACTTTCGGGAATCATCCTGAAGCCAACGGTCAAGCTGAACAGGTAAACCGTGTGGTGCAGCATCTGCTGAGGCATTACATTACTGCCCAGCCAAGATGACTGGGATGACAAGTTGCCTCTCATCACCAGTCTGTACAACATCGCTGTACACAGCACCACTGGCGTCAGTCCGAATCAGCTGCATTTTGGGTGGAAGTCTAGATCTGCTCTCGACTTCCTCCTGCCTGAAAACCGATCTGCTGCAACTCCTGGCCCTATAGAATTTGGTGTCCAGTATAAGAAGTTGTTGCAGCAGGCTGTCGAGCACATTAAGAAATCTCAAGAAGCAATGATTGCTTGACGACAGTCAACATTTCAGGTAGGGGAATGTGTCTGGGTCAAGGCTAGTGAACTCAGACAAGAGTTCGGCATCTCTAGGAAACTAATGCCTCAGTACTTTGGTCCTTGGGAAGTCTTGGATATCGTGGGTAGTGAGTTGGACGGTCCCTCATACGTTACTCTAATCCCTGGTCACTTGCGTATTTACCCTGTGTTTCACTCCACAGAGCTTGCACCTTTCGCTGAGACACAGCAGTTCCCATCAAGGAGATCAATGCTGCCCCCAACCATGGATGGGGACGTGGACGTCGACGACATTTTGGAGCACAGAGATATGCCTGTTCCCAAGCCTGTGAGTAGAGGAAGACCGCCGAAACCAGAGAGGGAGTACCGGATCAGATTCAGGCATCACATGGATCCAAAGACCGTTGGCTCACAAGAGAGGAACTGGTTGAAACAGCACCTCAAATCGTGGCAGATTATGAAAGAAGGGTAAAGGGGATGGCTCCTGCGTAAGAAGCATCTCAGTGAACTTTTGAAGCTAAGGGGATGGAATGTGAGGAATGTGCCCTCATGGGGCCCTAGCCAACATGCACATGATATGGTCTATGGCCCCCAGCAAGCATCGTGCCCACCCTAAGTGAAGGCGGGCCGGAAAATCCACGAGAGGCCCTTATCTCAGCATTTTCCAATATGGGTATCAGACAGTTGTAGCACGCAAGTTGGTTGAAGTGCAACGTGAGCCTCTCCATGGGCTCCCTTCAGAGACAGCAGCTGCGTCAAGGAATTGAGCCCAGGGCCGGGTGGTTGCGCCCTGGGAACACGCAGTGCGAGGCCGGCACATCACAAAGTGGCCGCGGGCGAATCAGAAAGCAGAATTGTCGTCACAGAGGCCCAGGGAGCCAATGGGAAGACGGCAAACACTTGGATCCTGGAGGCTGCTTGGACGTGACCAACAAGAAAAGGGCCCAGGCCCCCAACTGTCGAACAGGGCCTGGACGCAGACACTGGGGCCCGGCCAGAAGCTACTGGGCGCTTCCTCAGCCAGGCCCACGCAGCCAAACAGGGCCGTGACTTCCATATACGAAGGCCGCTGGCCAAGCTGAGGGTATTCCTGGCCTAGGCAGGCAATTCGGACACGCTGCTGCATTGCTGCGCAGGTGTCTGCATGCGCGCTGCTGGCTGGGGCGCACGTGTGCGCTATGAGGCCAGAGGGGCACTGCAGGGCAGCGGGTGCACGGCGGCCATAGCCGGGCTGCAGGGGCGCATAAGGGTGATGGGCGAAGGTGGTCTTCGGGTAGGATGCGCATGAGAGGGTGGTCAAGGTCTGATGAGGGGAGGAGAGAGAACGTACCTGGTGGATGTGGGAGGTCGGCATTGGTGTTGACGTCATGTACATTGGTCTTCAACGTCGGAAGTGATCCTTTTGCACGTCGGAAGTGATCCTTTTGCATGAACTTACATAGGCTAGATAGGCTCAGTAGAGTAGGCTGGGCGCTGGCCGCCAGACAGAGATGAGCGAAATTGGATACTGTGTTGGTGGGGCCTGAGGGCGATAACATTGGCACATGAGTTCACTGCTTTGTTATGATTTCGAAGTACACATTCATCAGAAAGTACAATGCCGTCCACTTGCAAAAAGAAATGAATGAACTTGAGAGGAAAGAGAAGGTAAGAAGAAGAATAAGAAGAAAGAAAGAAGAAGAAGATGATGTACACCAGCATAGAAGAATGATAATGCTCTTCTTCGTCAACCACTCTCCTCCTCCTTATCTCTTCCCCTCTTATTCAACCAAGAAATAATAGTAAGAATGTTGAATGGCTGAACCAGAATCAATGTCCGAGTCCCTCTTCTACTGCAGGTATCACTTGAGGTCCACCACAGCCATGGCCGGCCCTCTTCCTTCTTCCTCAGGCTATGGCAGACTACAGGGCATTGCCCTGCTATCCAAAGGACAACACAAAGCAGCTATGGCTGCTCTAGCTCAGGCCGCCATGCTTGACTCTGCCTCGAAGCTCCTTGGTGTAGTTCTGCCCCAACTGGGCCTTCCTGCTGCAGCGCCCACCAAGGTGATGAAGATGGCAACCACCATAGCCAGGTAAGTACCTCTGGCGCTCGCCTTCCTAGTCCTGGTCTTCTTCCTCCTCTGTGTCCTTGCTCCTTCCCCAGCAGCGCAGCTGTGTGCTAGCGCTGCAACCAGTGTGTCGCCAAACTTGCACACCGACACAATGAGGAGGAGCAACTGGCTCCTCCTGGAGTTATACCGGCCTGCTTACCTCTTGGTGAGTGGATTCCTAGGCTGCACGGCCTCCAAGCAACCGGTACCTTTCGGAGGGAAACATCATTGCAGACTCTGATATTGCCCGTACAGGCCCTAGACTCAGACTGATTGGACTAGTACCCGTCTAGACCTAGCCTACAACTACCGGGCCTCTATAAATGCCAACTTTTGTCTTCTTCTGCTCTGCCTCAAGTTCCGGGCACATATACCTCTACCTGGTGTGGTACCGGCCTACCTGCTACTTGAGTGTTTTCTGCTGCTTGAAGTGCCCGGGCCTCTTTCCCCCCCGCTTGAGTTTTTTCCCCGCTGCAATCCTCAATGTCACGGCCACAGGCAAGTACCGGCCCATCGGGCCTACTGAACGAACAAGTGCTCTTGCGGGTCACACACGCACTCAAGCCGACAAGCACTCAGACAGACATGCAGACAAGCAAGCGCACACACACAAACTTAAAGAACTCAGAAACAAGCGGGAAACTCAGCAAGGCATTTATTCCATGAGCAAAACTCAGAAATCAGCTGTGTGTCTCGCCCGTGTTTGGTCAGGTCATTACAGTTTGGTCTTATTTGGATGGAATCTTGGTGCATTTGAGCTCTCTGCTTGGTACATGACTCTCTGGACTTCTGCGTGATTTTGCAACTTGTATTTCTGTCTATCGCTCTCGCTCATATTCCTTGCAGAAGTAACAAAAGAAAGAAAAAGAAACCATATGTCGTCAGCTTTGTTGCTCACAGCCTCAAAGTCAGGATATCCTTATTTCCCCAACAAAAGGAACTCTTTTACCATAAGTTGAACTGGAGGCGGGGAATCCCTCCAACAAGACAACCCGAAAAATACTGGGACCATTACCCAACTTTTTGTACAGCAAAAACTAACCTTGAGCTTCAGAAAACAACAACAAGACAACCTGGAAAATACTGGGACCATTACCAAACTTTTTGTACAGCAAAAACTAACCTTGAGCTTCAATAAACGGCAACAATAATAACTTAATACTAGTTAATTGCATACTACTAATATTCAACATGTAATATTAAAAAAGGAAGCCTCACCTTGAGCTTCTGATCTTGGGCTTTTTTGAACCAAGGATCTTCTTTGCTGATGGATTCCACCTTGGATAGGCTCGGAGAAGAACCTTTCTTATCTCCCGCCTTCATCTTCTTCTCCGCTGCTGTGGTTGCTGATGCAACTACCAGCTTCGTCTTCGAAGAAGAAGTTGATGATGCAGCTCCTGCTGCCAAAGCTCCGTTTCCCGCCCCAGAACTGGCTCCTCGAGCTGAGGATGATGACGACGACGACGAAGCAGGCCTCCCTTTCTTCTCCTGTTCCACCACATGCCCATTGACCACCTGATCAGGCCTCGATCCCGATCCCGACATGCTCTTCTCAACTGACACTGCCGCACTGTCGTTGGCCGTCGCTTTCACTTTGCCCTGCTGCTGCACCCTTCCAGATGCCACCCCGTTTCCTCCTTCCGGTTGTCCCCATGGGGAAGACAAAGAAGAAGAAGAGGAAGTGGAAGAGACGGAGGAAGAAGAATAAGAAGAAGAAGAAGAGGGCACGGATCTAACAGCCCCTCCTCCTCCTCTTTCATCCGGAGGAGCAGATATGGCACCATCGCCGCTCGAGCTGCCGACAATGCCAGCATCTTGTACTTCCATCTGCTTCTCCAGAGATTCGACAAAAGAAGTGGGTATGTTCATTCGACCATTGGGTGATTCTTCCCCAGTTCCACGGCCTTGCGGAGGGTCTAGCTTCAGCTGCGCCAATGTGGGTCTCCAGGGTGTGACCGAGCGTAAACCCCGAGAAGCAGAGAAGCGACGGCTTCCAATGTCGGGGGAGAGGCGCCACCTCCGTGAAGTGCCTGCTGTACACTCAGCAGCAGCAGCTCCTCTGCGGCTGCTGATGCTACTATCTTCGCGCCGCCGGCCACCGCGCAGGGGTCCGGACCCTGATCCCTCACAAGATTTGCAAGATGAATTCAAGACCAGCACATCCAATCGTGTATCGAGACGGCGGCTTGGGAGAGAGAAGCAGCAGCCCTCGCCTGCAACACCCCCGCCAAGAGCCACTGATGTCGCAATCCCAACCGGAGATGGCGCCACAGAAGCAGCGGAAGCAATCGACGTGGCGGCAGCCATCTTCATGATAATAGCTTGGGTCACAGTGAAGAGTGGAACGATCGGCGCACGGGCAGCAGCAGCAGCCCCGCCAAATCCGCCCACTCACCTGTCTGCCCAGCACATGCACTCCCCTGCCTCTCTCAACGCCACAGCCCACGCTCTCTGCCCCGCATCGGTGCCCTCTTCCTTCTCGCTCCCTCTCTCTCTCTTCTCTGTTTCTCAAAGTGAGCGGTTGCTGTGGATAATCAACTACCAAAAGCTCACCCTCCCACTCTCCCTTCTCCTTCCATGCGCTAACGTCGTCGCCAGAAGAGTCCCGATTTCGATTTTGCCTTCTTTTTTTTTTTTTTTTCGCCTCGTGCAGACAGTCCTTGCCGCTTACTCATGCCCCCTGGAAAGAAAAAGACAGAATGCACCCCGCTCTCGGCGGGGATGTTAGCCGGCCAGTTGAACCTCCCTCCCGTCAGCTCTCAGTGCAATCAGACTTGTCTTCACCTCACGTTCAACATGCATACATGCAGCTGGCAATGGCAACAGAAATTTCCACAGACGCAGAATCAAGCGGACTTGAGATGGCGCAGCCCACACAAAAAACTCAGAGATATGGCCTTCGGCCAGGAACTCAGCTCAAAACAACTTGTCACATCTCATGGCTATGGTGTCTGAGCGCCAGTCTGGAATTGCCACCCCAACACTGTATCCACCGTCAGACACTCACACGCATGTACGCACACAACACTTGGATCTACCCTGAATGTCTGCACATACACACACGCTAACTACTAACTCGTCACACTGGCGGCTATGGCTGCCATCGCCTTGCCCCTCTCTAGCGGCTATGGCCGCCTGTCTTCTTCCACCTTCGGGCTCTCTTGCTGGCCACTGGTGAACTCAGCGCACAAGTCACTCGAGCAGCGCTTCCGCGTAGTTTCCCAGATAATGAGTGAATGACTGATCGCTGCCTCTTTATTTATACTGTTTCGTTTGGTGGTCTGGGCCTGCCCGATGTCCCAGGCTCTGGTACTTGCTGCAAAACGGACTGGACTGGAACTGCATTTTCACTTGCCCTTTCGGTGTTGACTTGGGACTCTTCACCTTTCAGAGATTAACGGACTGCCCTTTCAACCTGCGAGAGGTCAGGTTGACTCTTCTAGCGCTACTCTAGCCACGAGCTACTGACCTTTCACAGGACGTATGGCCAGTTGACCTTTTGAAAGGTCAAATGTAAATTTGCAATTTTAGGAAACTTACAGACGACCCTCAAGACTTCTAAATAACTAACTAGGGGACCTGTTGCGGCTACGCCCGCAATAAAAATGGAATGTTTCCCAAGAAGTTGATGGACTCTCTCTCTCTCTCTCTCTCTCTCTCTCTCTCTCTCTCTCTCTCTCTCTCTCTCTCTCTCTCTCTCTCTCTC